TTTGTTTTTTCTCGGATAGAACGAGCGTTAGCATCCCCTTAGAGGTGTTACAAATTATAAATATACAAGGTCAAACAACTATTATTCACATACAGTCTGTAACACCTCTAGGTTAAACCATATTTAAGCGGATACTAATGCTTGGTGTGACCGGGGGAAAGCGAACTCCAGGCCAACGTGCATCACTATCTCAATGCTATACTAGGAAGACAAGTTGCTCTGGCTAGAATTCGCACAAATTCTGCAATGCTATCTCAATGTGGCAGGCAGCATGGTAAAAAATAAAAGTCCTGCATCTGCTATGTGGTATTCTGTGAAATGTGGAAAAGCGAGATTTCAAAAGAGCATAAAGTCTGTTCATAATTAGTAGGCTTAAAGAATAAGAGTAGATATTTGATCATGATAGATTATATAGGCGGATAGGGTACTGATAGTTGAATTTTCTCACAATAATAAAAATAGCCCTCATGATGCCAAGAAATTTCACTTCAGGTGTTGTTGAGACTCAGTCGAGTTAGAAACTGTAGTCCAGTCTCTATAAGAAAACTTATGTGAGGCAAGTATAAATGAAAGTTACCAATATTTTGAATTTTACTCGTCTCACTTTTGGAAAATTCAACTATCATTCTTTTAACACCTTATCATCTTACATAAAGTCACCCCTTCAATTCATCCTCGGCCAACCAATCCCCGTCTTTATCGAATCTATTTGAAGTGGAGATGATTCAATGTAATGCTTACACGACTTTATAATTGCCATCAAGATGCCTAAAGACGTAACCACATTTTCTTTCCCCAACCCGTCTTCAGCTCACCTACAGCTTAAGTACTTCGGATTCCATAACTCGGCACTGCCTGGCTGTTTCACCGAGTACTGGCTGTCTGCGGCTGCTTGACTATCCCATTTGCCGAATGCAATATCACCCTCCTCTGGCTTCCTGGCCGCGACAGTTCTCAGCTTATCTGCATGTTCTTGATGGACCCACAACACATGAATCCAACTGGCAAGAGGTGGAGTCGAGCCTGAAAGCACACCCGCCTTTTCACCACTACACTGGCGATCTTAATGAGGATGATAGCGATTCTGTCTGGCCCTGGTCGACCTTAACTCGCCCGGATACTGGCGTGGAAGTCGAGGCGTCTGTAGGCGCCAATGTCGGCTCAAGCTCCGAATCCCCGAAAAGGCAGAGGCGTTCCCGCCGAGTCCAACCTGAACGAACGAACTCGCGGCCGTCCGCTACTGCCAACATCGCGAGGCACCGTGGAAGCCTGACCGGGAAGCTCGGGATTCGAACTTTAAACCCAATGAATGGGCACCAATTGCTGGCGCTTGTCCGTCTCACGGTCTACACTGACGGTCAGCTGATTGGATGGCTTGCCAAAACAATGGGTCTCCCGGAGGCTGCGGAGGGCGTTCCAGAAGCCGAACTAGCACTTGTCCACTTGGAAGCCGCAAGGAATGAGCCTGGACCCTGGCCTCTACCCTTCTGGGTTGACGGAGCATCTGACGAAGGCATTGAAGATGGAGACCGACTACAATCTGAGTCTAACGACGGAATGGCGCCAGAGGGGTGGACGGTTTCCATGCTAAACGCAAGGTCAGAGTCTTAAGGCTACTAATTATCTATACTTGTTGAGCACACTTCCATTTCGAGTTTAGATGTTGGGTGAAGAGATTCGAACGCCAATCCAATTACAAGACGAAGGCAAACATTCTTGTTGACGTTGTCCCCTCGGCAATCTAATTCGATTACCGTGAAGATTTGCTGAACTTTCATCCGTCATATGAAGTGCACCATCAGAGTATAATATCATCCTAGCAACCATTTCAGGCTAGTGAGTCAAGGAAACTCACCAGCTCATTTCTGCATGCTTTATACATTCCATTAATCTATGCATCTTGTTGAAGTATAAAGTGATTTGGTTAGTTCGAGTCATATTTCACTCTGAAGGAATGTCTGTCTTTGTGTGCTTATGTGTCATCATGTTCACGTATATGTTCGAAACCAGCGGTGATAGCTCAAACTAATTAGAAGACAACGTAACATCTATCCTCGGTCATGAAGGTTTAGTGACCATCACCACTACCTCCATATGTTTACCTTTTTGCCATCACTCCAATTGGGTTATTTCGAGCATACGTCGGTCTAGCTTTATGAGCTCTTTGTCTGCGTATGAGAGAGAACGAATGAAATAACAAGTATCGAATCAAGGGAGAATGCCACGATGACAGTGTCGACAAGAATGCTCCGATAATGCTAATTGGCGGCCGGTATAGAGGAATCCGCTGTCGTCTTCTGGTAGGATCAACTGTCGGATCTCTTCATCACGCATTTTCTCTTAAAATAGAAGTGAGTTCAGCTGGTTTAAAGTAAGAGGTTTCTCGATCCAACTTTTCTTTATACATGCAGCTTAATTGTGACCGATTATGAGTTTACTAGTGACCCTGATCAACTGACCTTTACCTTCTTCTCTACCAAGGGGCCAACAGAGTTATGTGCATTGACATCTTACCCTATTTGCCGCTTGTCTATTTCTCTCTCTTCTTCTCTCATTCTCTCCCGTTTTTTACTTGGTTAGCCTTTTCATTATACTCAAATGATCATTTGATTCAGCTAAATTCCCTAAAATTGTGCTTCCACCGTCCGAGGGCACTAGTTTGGCTCCATATTTCATTAATTTGTCCATATCTTTCGAATTATACCTCCCTGCCAGCTCTTCCTTTCTGACAGGACTATACTATGATTATCTGCAGCCAATGCTCATCAGGCATTGAGTTAGGGCTGAACTTTTCGATGACTAAACATTTGCGTCAGGCTACACCGAAACGATTAGATGGACATCAGGGAGTAAACTAACACGTTAACTTAGAACTGCAAAAATAAAGCCCATTTGAAATTGAGTTGTAAGGGTTTTCTCATCCCTCTCGGGATGCTGGAAGGCTAGCCCAGTGGTCATATGCTAAATGGCTCTATTTGATGCAGCCCTATTAGTATTTGTATATTTAACTCTTCTTTAAAAATGTCGAGAAATGACGTGCAGAAGATATTTTTGCTAGAAGTTTAAGTGAAACCTTCCAGAATGGCCTCAGACATGAAGAGCCTAAAAT